TATGAAGTCTTATCACTTAAGTAGAACTTGCGAAATGCTGCAAGTAAAATAGATTCTTGATCATCTTAATTTCGGGTTGGGTTGCTGGTGTCTAATTGGTTATAGTGACTAAAGTTTTAGAATTTATTTATTTGTATATCAAGTGGAGATCTAATAGTGTATATTAACATTTTTATTCATTATAATGTTTAGATAAGCATATATATATGTGTGGGTGTTTATTTATTTATGTGTTTGTGTTTGTGTATAATGGGCTCGATAAAAAGAAATACCTTGGTATACAGTTATGCTGACATTTAATAGGCATAAAACTATTAATATAGCCACTGCTCTTCCATGCCAAATCGTTTTATTTCTAGTGTTTTTTCAAAATTTTCTCACCTGGACTTCTCAGGGTCCTCGAACGTAACCGAGAAAAAAGATAGGTCGATATGCTCCTCAGCTAGGCATTTCTAAATTAGTTTTAGTCTATTTGCATACAAAGCAATATTTATTTTTTAAAAGCTAGCAGACTGCTAAATTCTTGCCAGTTTTTAAAATTGCATTCGTAATTTCTTGGGCCTAGCATCTCATCTCTCTCTAAAAGTTCCGTAGAAAGCTTTGTTTTTAATATGACTGTAGGGCCGTTACCTATTTTCCATGATGTCTCCCACAACCAAGTCTTATTTTTTCATCCGCCAACTTTACTAAACAGGAGAAGAGTTATGATGGATCTTATATCTAGCAATCCTCCGCTCTCTATCCCGTCTCTTAATGAACAGTGGCTTGTCGCCAAGCCGATAAGGAGATAATTCGTCCTTTCTGTGGCTTCGATTTGGCTACATCTCTGCAAATCAACTTATTTTCACTTCTGTTCACATTGACACACAACTAAATGACAACCAAAAACTGCAGGGTTATTCATAAGTGTATCCACACCCTGAAACAAAATATATGTAGTCATGCTACCATATATATTAGCGGGGGCTTCATTTTAATGATTAACACTACTGAAAGGGGCGCTAGTAAGCTATTGTATCATTGTAAAACCAAACTTCGTTCTGACTACAATTTTACTAGCGTTTTAGCCTAATAGACTGGTAAATTGTAAATTGACATTTATTTAACTGTCTGGGTCTTCTTACCAGGCATAATAATTTAGTAAATATTTTCAAATATCCGGCGATGTTTTTTTGAAGAGTTAACCTTACTCATCAGCTTTTCTTCTTATTTACCAGTAATTATAAATAGCATCATCTTTATTATCTTCTTAATTATTCAATTTCTCCTCTTATTTTGATATTTTTTTATTTTATTTAACAAATTCTGAACCAGTTTTATATTTAGCTGTACTATATTGATTCAGACCTTTATTTTTCTTCCCTCGTCTTCTTCCTTTAATCTCATAATCTGATACATATTAAAATTCCTTCCACCTCATCTACAGAATTGAAGCCTTCACGTTGATACTGGACGCATGTCTTCTGCAACTTCTACAGACGTTCGGGCTGGCTCCAAGTCCGGAAGAATTGGCAGCCTTGTTTGCACAGGCACGAGTATCCGGCCCCCAAGATGACCCGAAACCACCGCCCTCTTGTCCGATGCACTCCATGACGGTCTGAAATGGGACGACAGTGCGCAAGGAAGCCGATCCAGATCGAAAGCAGCTGATTTGCCTTTGAAAGAGTGTTTATATGTCCATTTAGAATTGAGAGAATTGGCATGTGTAATGTGGATTTGTTATGATTTCATCACTTTCACTGCTATTTCTTGATGGAACTCATGGCATGCGAGAGTACCTTTGGCTTATATAGCTGCTATTGAGTATGCACCTTAGTATGCATAGGAGCATCTCCATATTTGTATATGCAAAATGGGGCTGCTTGGTTGGGCTTCTTTTAAAATTCAATCCATAGCCTCCTGGTCCAATCAAATAACAACTCTGTAAATTGACAGAACAGAGCATATAGTAAATTAGCCTAATCTCTTTAGAGCAAATACTCTGATTTCTCTTTAGAATCAAGTTTAAGCTCTTTACTCCCCTTCTACGACGCTGAGCTAGTATGTTACGAGCCGAAATCGTTTCTGCCTTGTCTATTCTTGCTAGCATGTTCTCTTTCATTCTCTTTCCATTCTTAATTCCTTTCTTATTCTCTTATTTTTGAACATCTCTATCATTGCTCGTCTTTCTCTACTTCCGCCAAGAAAGTCTATTTTTCTCGAAATCCTTTCAGACTGCCTTCTTATGCTTACAATTTTTATGAATTTTAGAAAAAATATATATGGCTACTTAAAAGTGATTTCCTTGAATTTGCCCTTGTGTCTGATGGACTGGCCAATCCCCTCCAGTCTGAAGTCAAAGGGTATTTATAAATTCCCCTTTTGTTTTTCAAGCCGCCCGAAATGCAAGCTTTCCTCTCAATGAGGATTCAATTGCGCCACCAATTCATTTTGTCTTTCTGGTGCATCAATATTCGGTAACAGTAGATCCTTATTTTTGAATGAGAATTATGTTTAGTTTTATCAAGTATACCCTAGTCCTTAGTCAGCACAAACCCTTTGAAGCAATTCGAATTCACATTTAAGCATATTTAACCATTATATGTATATGTGTGCACGCATGCATGACCAGAGTTCCTCTTGTCTGGCAATATATCTGATAAAATTGCAGTGTATGTAGCGATATCATTTGGCTTGGTTATGCTTCCTATTGTTACCTAGGGCTTCACGTACGCTCTTTTGCTATGGTCCACTGTGGTCTTGCAAATAAATGGCTTGATTGCTGCATACAGGTTTAACAATGTGCAGATTGCATGGGCAATGTTATCATAGTAGGTGTAGAGTTTATGTTAAGGCTTAGCATTGAAGAACTTGGAAGGACAAAAAATGATGAGAAACCTGAGCTCTTCAGTCGTGTATAGGTTTGGGAATTTACACTAGTACTTGCTATGAGTTCCGATAAATAAATAAATTTATGGCCAGGGAACACACGGATTGTGAACTATGGTTTATATCACCCTTCTGGCATAAACTACAGTTGAATAATCATTTTAAGTGGGAACACGATGATATCAATTTTATTCCCAATATACTTGTAGAAAATCGCTTCTAGATTAAACTAGCAGGATTGCTATCTAAAACCTCGCCCACTATGCAATTTGTTTGCGAGGCACATAGCTATGGCAAAACTCTTTTAAGAGGATACCATCATATCTCTGTTCTGGAGGCATGTTACCGACTCCCAGTGAAGAATAAATGTCTGAATCGTGGCGATAATAAATAGGAGATCTTCGTGTTTTGTAATTAAGGTCTTACTTTTTTGGGGTATCTCGGCAAGTGAAAATCAAGAAATTTGCTGATACTTAAAGCTTTCCTCACTTAAGTAAACATTTTTTAATTAGTATCTGGCTCCTCAGTGTTTTTCGAAGACTTA